AAGTCCACACCAACTTAGGCCATGTACCCATCTTACCAGCTAAAAGAAGTGGACCCTCAGCCAGGAGCCCAATAGCTCATTAACATCAGGGTGCGTGTAAAGCCCCAGGTATTGCACCACCTGGCAGTGTTATCCTTAGTGATCTACAAAGTCAGATTCCAAAGCTAATGGTCATGTAGTGTCTTTAAATGGTACTTAAGAAAAATATAGCTTCAAACTGAAGACATTTAAAAGTCGGACACGTAGGGCTTAAATAGAAATGCCATGAGGAGATATATGATCTGAATATTTAAGAACTTTAGGGTAAGAATATAGCTCGGTGGTAGTGCACCTGCCCATCATGCATGAAGCCCTGGGTTTAATTCCCAGCACCAAATCATCATCATCATCATCATCATCATGAGACTTAAGTACGGCTATAAAGATTCATCCCAGGGCCGGGGATACAGCTCAGCAGCACAGCGCCTGCCTGGCAAGTGTGAGGTTGTGAGTTCGATTCCTGGTACCAAAAGAAAAAAAAAATTCAAATTCGTCCCAGACTCAATCAGATTTCCCAAGAAGGATCCCAAACGCTGACTATATGACCCCCAAATGATTCTGACACAGCCAGGTTTGGGGACCATCCTTCTGAAAGAGTATTACAAAGGGTAAAGTGGCATAAGCCAGAATGTCAAAAGCTATGCACATGCAGGGCCGTGATTACATAAGCAGACACTAAGTAGTTTTTCCTTTTACCCAGGACATGAAGAATGCCACCCTGTCCCTGAATTCTGATGACAGTGAGCCAAAATATTACCCTTTAGAAGTTCTGTTAAAAAGTCAGAATCAGGGGCTGCCTGAGGACGTGAACCCTGCCAAAAAGGAGGTGAGTGGGTGAAGGAACTGCTGGAAGTAGGTAGGACCCCTCCCCTCCCTGGTCTTAGTGAAGGACCGTCTTAGTAAACGGCCTAAGACAGGTCCGGCCTTTCGTAGACACTCAGGGGAAATCCGAGCCACTACCCAGGGGCTCAACCCCAGTAAGAACTCCTTGATTCCTTTCTCACCTCCCACAAATCCATCCAGTCCATCCCGAGCCTGTCTCCTGCTGTCCATCTGTCCACCGCTAGTCTAGTCCAGCTATCACGGACCACCGTGACCCACCCGGTTTCCACCCCACAGAAACACAGGTATGAATAATGGCCAAGCTCGGCATGGTAGCAAGTACCTGTATTCCCAGCACTCTGGGAGACCGAGGCAGGAGGAACACAAGCTAAAGCCCGGGCTGCATAATTTAACAGCTTTAGTAAGACACTGTCTCAAAATAAAAAAACAAAAAAGGGCTAGAGATTTATCTCAGTGTGAAGCCATGGCTTCAATCCTGAGTACTGCACCACCCCCTCCATGAGGAAAAGGATTTTTTTTTTTTTTTGGTCTTTTTGAGACAAAGCTCACTTTGTAGCCCAGGCTGGTCTTGAACTCGAAACAACCCTCCTGCCTCAGCCTCCTGAGTGCTGGGCTTACAGGCGTGTGCCACCCGCCCGGTTCTTTAAACATGTCACTTTCCTGTTTAAAACACCCGGACTGGCTCCCCACCCCACCTGGAAAGAACACAAAGGCCTCAGCCTGGCCCCTGGCCCTGCCCCGGGCTCTGTCTCATATTCCTGGCTTACCCCTCTTCAGCCGGGGCTGCCCTTGTGTTCCGGGATGTGCGCCTCCCAGCCCTGCAGCGCTGTACACTTCCAGGGCTCCTGCCCGCACAAACGTTGTTCTCCGACTATCAGTCAGCCCCTCCTGCCGTTTGGGTCTCAGCTCCGTCACCTCCCCAGACAGGCCCCCCACTCACCCCTCCGGTCTTTACTGTTGGCAGTACGTTAGGGTTACGTTCATCTCGGGAGGCAGGAACGTGTATGTACCACAGCTCGTCCTTCCTTTTATCCCCTTCCTCCGCCCTCCCTGTCTCTAGATCCCCTTTCCCCACTTTCATTTCTCTAATTATTATCCTGAGCTCATGTTTATGGCACACAACGTTTATACTCGAGGTGGTGGTTCTGTACAGGCCATGTTTTAACTCTTCTTGCTTCCCCTCCACGCTTCCCTCCATCTCCTGGGCCCCTTCCCAGGGGGAAGGCGAGACCCACTCCCTTATCTCCTTCTACCCATCTTTTATTTTGCCGGGCGTGGTGGCGCACGCCTGTAATCCCAGCACTTGGGAGGCTGAGGCAGGAGGATTGTTGTGAGTTCGAGACCAGCCTGGGCTACAAAGTGAGTTCAAGGCCAGCCTGAAGTGAACAGCAAGACCCTGTCTCAAAAAGACCAAAAAAAAAAAACCAAAAACCCTTTATTTTGCCCTTTGTACCCCCTCCTACACTTCTGCAGGCCTTAAGGGTGCTGTGTACCTTCTAACGCGAAACTTGTTCTCTCTCTTAGAATTACCTCTCTGAACAGGACTTTGTGTCTGTGTTTGGTATCAAAAGAGGACAGTTTACTGCTTTGCCTGGCTGGAAGCAGCTCCAGCTGAAGAAGGAGAGGGGGCTTTTCTAGGGGAGAAGGCTGATGCCCACTGCAAGATCACAAGGGGGCAGAGAGTGTCAGCGTTTGGACAGAAGTCACCAGCGTCTGCCTGGCACTCAGCTGCTTATCCAGATACAACAGTCTGAGACACCACAGCATGCTCGCCATGTGTGCTTGTTCTTGCCCTCCTTGGTTGTTATATACCTACAATAACCCTTTTTTTTGGCTTTTGTGGCTAGAGACTTGGCACAAAACTGCATAAATCTAGAGAAATAAAAAAAAGAACCAAAAAACTAAGCTTAAAATATTTAATACTATGCCAAGACCTACATTTGCCTTAAATTTTAATATATATATATATTTTTTGCGGGGGGGCTCTTTTTTGAGACAAAGTTTAGCTGTGCAGTTCAGGCTGGCCTTGAACTCATTTTGTAGCCCAGGCTGGCCTTGAACTCACAGCAATCCTCCTGCCTCAGCTTGCTGAGGTGCTGGGATTATAGGCGTGCGTCACCATGCCCGACAAGATGAATACTTCTAAAACCTGTTTAACCTACAAAGCACTGAAGTTTCTTGCATACACATACACCCCTACGTCAGCACCCAACACACAGATCTATTATGTGCCAGACTACTTTTAACTTTTCAAATAAAGATACTTATAGGAGCAAACGGAGTCCTAAGTACTGCATTACAGTGTTTGGGGCTTGCTTATTACGGTAATTTTCTTATGCTGGGAGAAATGTATGGAGGAAATAAATAGGCAACATTGAGTGAACTCTCTGGATACCTGGGCCACTGTAATTCCTATCTCCGGCACAAGAAGGTCAAAACTTCCCTGTACCTGTCCAGGAAACCTCAGGACTCGTACCCCGTGCGAAACTTTTTTTTTTTTGGTACCGGGAATTGAACTCATGACCTCGCGCTTGCCAGGCAGGTGCTTGCGACACTGAGCTAATCCCCAGCCCCAAAGCAGCAGCATACAATGGATGCCTGCTCTCCAGACACTGTCCGTGGTAGCAGTCAGACCCACCTGCTGCCGCCTAAGCCCAGGCACAAGAAAGGCACGGAAAGGCGAGAGCTGTTACCACGCAGACAGGAAGCACTCTACACTCTACCATTTCACTGTTTTATTGACTAACTACCTGCGAAGTACATAATGTCATCATAAATGAAAACACAATTCAGGGCTTTAAAAAGGCGCAGGAAGCAACTGCCTGCCATGACGTCCAGAGCAAAAGACACACACTTGCTCCCGGGCAGAGTCTCGGGAGCCTACTGGGCCTCTGCCGCCTCCTCGCCCTCTCCACACTCAAACCTCACGAAGTCCACGACGGACACGCCGCGGGGCTGCACGTACTGCCCCAGCGTGATGGAGGGGTCCAGCAGGTACGGCTGGGCCAGCATCTTGGTCTCTGCCTCTCCCCCGGGCTCGTCGTCCAGCGAGCCGACGGAGAGTGGGGCCATGCCCACCACGTGCTGCCCGAGGCGGCGGCCGACGTCCTCCAGGTCCGCCTGCCGCTGCGCCGTCTCGCAGACCACCAGGGCGCCGTACTTCCCTAGCGCCAGGTTGTGCAGGGAGGGGCTGAGCTCCGCTCCGTGGACGTAGGAGCCAACGTAGAACCCGGACGGCGCCTGCACCCACGCAGCTCGTCTCAGGATCATGTTTTCTCCCAGTTTCCCTACAAGAAAAGAAACCACGGAAACCCACGTGCCACCAGAACGTGATGCCTGCGGTTACACCAGCATTCGCGGGTGCTGACACCGCGGTTGGAGGTTTACACTAGGTATGATGTAACAGTTTCACTTTCCGCTTGAAGAAGCGGGGTGGGAAGCCCTCAGGGAGCACCCACGTGCGGCAGCCACACGCTGCTTGCAGAGGCTGCGCTATCACGGAGTCTGGTCTAAGTTCTCCCGCTTTCTGGCCCTAACCCTGCGCGGAAGACTTAACGACACAACTCCGCTTACTAATTCATCAAGTGTCTGTTCCCTCATCCACGCAAGGAAGACACCACCTACCTGTCAGGGATACTGGAAGAAATAAGGTGAAATGTGTAAAAGCATTATTTTTTTTTTTTTTTTTGGTACCGGAAATCGAACTCATGACCTCAAGCTTGCCAGGCAAGTGCTCATGCCACTGAGCTACATCCCCGGCCCAAAAGCATTCTTTTTTTTTTTTTGGTTTTTCTCTGGTACCGGGAACTGAACTCACGACCTTGCGCTTGCCAGGCAGGCACTTTGCCGCTGAGCTAAATCCCCAGCCTCCCCAAAAGCATTCTTTGTAAGACCAGGCATGTAGTAAACACTCAACTGCCATTATTATTACATTAAATTTAGGCTTCAGAGAGCTGGAGTAACCCGCCCAAAATATGTGGCAGAGCTGGAATCAAAAGTTCACACTTGACTCCAAAACGAGGGAGTGCACTTTCCCACCAAGTGATCATTCCCCCCAAATACGGAGTACCCAGGCTGAGGAAGGACAACCCCTGACTGTCCGCTGTATCAGGAAAGGTCTAGAACTAAAACCTACACAAAGTCCGAAACGCCACCAGCCAGTTTCAGCTTGCTCTCATCAAACACAGAAACATTTGCAGAGTGTTTACGAGAAACAAAAACACATTCCTGTTTCTTTCCTCAGGAAGCCGTTCCCTTCCAGTGAAGTCCACATAAGCCAGAAAGAGGGAAGGGGCGTAAAGGGATTTGGATTAATATGCCTGGACTGTCCATAGTTATAAGTAAAAATTATGAAAAGGGAGAATCCAGAAACAAAAACAAATTTTAAAAAAAAAATCTACCCAATAGTTAATTTCCAGAAATTAACAAGGCTGAAATAAGAAGCTCTTCCAAGGTTTTTTTTTTTTTTTTTGGTACTGGGAACTGAACTCAGGACCTTGCGCTTGCCAGGCAAGCGCTGTGCTGCTGAGCTACATCCCCGGCCCTAAGCCCCGTTTCTTAGCACACAGCTGTCTGCCTGGTTCTCACCCATGACTCATATGCACTGCAGGATGACCTGATGGAGACGGAATTGATGCCCTGATTAGAAACTTCAGATAAGCATTGAATTCCCAGCAACTCCAACCAAGCCCTGCTTCTCTCTGTCAAAGATGTGCAGAAAGAAAGCAAACCCGCCTAGTCGTACCACGATGATCCACATGTCGTTCCTATCACCAGCAGGCTCTAAGAGAATGGACCCTCACAAAGCCAGGCGTCTAATGCACTGTTCTCCCTTTATCATATTTGCAGGTCATCAACTGGAAGCCAAAGGGCAGTTTATGCCTAAGGACAGGCTCCTCTGCTTGGTAGAGGGACGAAAATAATTTTAGTGAGTTGCAAAAAGCTAAAAACTCTGCAATTGTTCCATATAAATCTAAACTCTTTTAAGGAATTTAGAAATTCTGACTAGAACGGAAGTCATTTCCCCCAGGGTGACAATCTCTGGAGCTTGGTGACGGCACAGAAGGGGCTGTTCAGGTTGCCCCCCCCCGCTTCCTAACTCCTCACACACAACTCCCTCCTCGCCATGTCACCTGGGGCTTGCAGGCACACGAGCTTGCAATTTTTGATGTAGATCTGGAGGACCATCAAGATACCAAAATATCCGATCTTTAATTTCCAGTTCCCAAGATCCTTGTAAATACTCACCAATTGCTAAGGCCAAATGATCCCTCAGGGAGCCGCCTCTGTCAGGCCCAGCTGGAAGTCCAGAAAGCTCAGAGGAATTCAAGAAGCCCTAAGCTCACAAGAAAACAAACAGGCCAGTTCTACACAACTGAAATTATTAAGGGAACAACCAAAAATAGCCTATTTCTAAGAAAATGTGAAGACAACTAGGAATAGTTTCATCAAGCCAAGCACATTAAAAATTGATTACAAGGCCGGCCGTGGTGGTTCATGCTTGTGATCCTAGCACTCAGGAGGCTGAGGCAGGAGGACTGTTGAAAGTTCAAGACCAGGGCGTGGGGATTAAGCTCAGCAACACAGCGCCTGCCTGGCAAGTGTAAGGTCGTGAGTTCGATTCCCGATACTGGGGAAAAAAAACAAAAACAAAAACAAGACCAGCCTGGGCTACAAAGTGAGCTCAAGGCCAGCCTGAACTGCATAGTGAGACCCTGTCTCAAAAAGACCAAAAAAAAAA